CGTGGCCTTTTCCCAGCTCTCGAGCTCTTCATTTCCCATCCCTTCATGATCAGAATCGTCACTATAATCATCATCAACCGGCAGCGACAACGACGCTGAAAAGAATTTCATTTTTTCCCCAGAAAATCTCAATTTTTCCCCTCAGTACAACCATCAACAACCAGGAGGGACAAAAATCCTTAGAAGAATTTTATTTTTTTCCCAAAAATTTGAGATTTTACCGCAACGCAACCCATCCTCAACCGGCAAGGATGAAAAGATTTTTGCCCAGAAAAATCCAAACTTTTTCAATAACCGAAAATTCCGCAATTTTCCAAAACCCATCAAATCTCTAATAACCACGGAAATTCCGGAACATTTACGAAAATTCACGTAAATTTAGGGAAATTTAGGGAAATTTACGAAAATTTACCAAAATTTACCAAAATTTACCAAAATTTACCAAAATTTACCAAAATTTACCAAAATTTAGAGAAATTTACGAAAATTGACGAAAATTTACGAAAATTTAGAGCGACCAAGATTTACCTGGCACGCTAACCCCATTCGATTCGCTGCTATTCTCCGACGAGTCCGGCAATTTTATATCCTCCCATTTTATCCATCGATCGTGTCGGCGGTTCATACGTTGAAAATGTACATAATAATCATGATCTCCTACCTGAATAGAAAAAAAAATCGGAAAAAAATTTTCATTTTTTCCCTAAATTTTTATCACAAAAGTCTGAGGAAATGACGGACCATTCACAAGAATATTATCGTTAAATTTTGAATTACATAATTTCTGAGAGTATTTGTTCGCTTTCCTCAGCTACTGAGCTCAGGAATTCAAGTAGTAGAAGCGGACAAAAACCAACAAAAATTTCCCAAAATTTTCCAAAATTTTCCCCCAATTTTCATATTTTTCCACCTGTTGCAAAGGTCGATCTTCCGGTAGCGTTTCCCTTCTCCTGATGCTCACCACCGTACCATGTCGCCACTGGTCTAACTCGATCATTCGGCATATCAATACTGTACCAACCTGACCGCGCGCCACAAAATTATTCCGAAAAATGAGGGAAAAAATATAAAAAAAATGGATTTCCTCACCGGTTACACAAATTCTGGTAGAAAATGTACAAACACCAACTAAATTTCCTCAGGATTTTCATAGTGCTATCAACACACGTAGTTGCATATTTTCCGATTCTTATTTCCCATTTGCTGTAAAAATGTATAAAAACCGATGAAAATTTCACAAAATTTTCTCATAATTTCAATTTACTCACCAACACACGTAGTTGCCCCTGTGCTCATTCACATGTCGCAAAAATGTATAAAAATTTCCCAAAATTTTCTCATAAATTTCCCAACTCACAGGTAACGCATGTTCAAACTCCTTTGCAAGAGCCTCCGCTTGTCCCGCCACAGCTGCTGGAGTGAGTTGATGATGGCGTAATCGTTTCCTACCAAGACTTCCATCCCAAAGGTCCCCGGTTCGATCCCCCCACCTGTCGTTTTTACTCGCGGCTCCATTTGATTCGAAATCTGTCGTTGGTGGGCTTCCGCTCCCACAAGAACCTTCTGCCGAATTCGCTTGACGAGTGGCAGACAT